GCCTCGCCCTGCCCACCTGAGCCCCGGTGATGGGGCAGCAGCAGGACAGACCCCGCAGAAGACAGCCCAAAGTCAGGACAGCAGGTCCCACCTTCGTCTCTCGAGCAGTAGATGGAGTTCACGGCCATCTCCAGGGCTGGCGCCTCCCCGCTGCCCTCTCTGCCACGCCGGGCCGCCACACCAGCATCGCTGGGGTGGTTTCCCTGACAAGGGAGAGCAGGTCAGCCTCCTCTCCCCACATCAGCCCCTGGGTCCCCTTGCAGCCGCCGCCCCAGCCCTGCATTGCCTGGACCCCACCGCCTCCCCGAGGGGCCTCCCCCAGCCCCACACGGCTTGGCCACCCTGCCGCCACACCAAGCCCATCCCCCAGGGCCCACCCCCGCGAGCCGACACGAACATGGATGAACAGGGCCAGGCAGCGCAGGGGGGGCTTCCCTGGAGCTCCTGCTACGACCCTGGGCCCCAGCTGGGCTATGCATTGCACAGGGTGCAGTTACTCCTGGCAGCCCCCTCCTCTGGACCCTGCCCGCGGTGCAGTACAAGCCAGTGCTGAGGCACGGCCTCTGGCAGGGCAGCACCCGGGGGGCCACTGTGCCCACTCCACTGCTGCTCGTCTGACCACTACGGCGTGCCCACGCAGGTGCCCTGGTGCCGGGGCAGAAAACAGCTCTGCTTCCTCACTGATGTGCTCGGTGCAGGCAACACTGGCACCCAAAGCATCTCACGGGCCTGGGCACACTCTCCCAGTGGTACGAGCAAGGGAAGGAGCTGATGAGACAAGCCAGTAACGCGAGGGTCTGCGTCCTGCTTCTGCACAGGCGTGCAGGCAGTGCCAGTATCAGTGCACAGCCCGCAGAAGGGAAGCGCGCACTTCTATTTTAGCGCATGCAGAACTGAAAGCGCAATGCACACACTCTGTCAGCGATGGAGACCCAGCAGCAGGGTCCCCTGGGGGCCTGCGTGGGGGATGCACCCTCAGCGCTAGCACCAAATAGCCAAGATCCTCCTCCAGGGAAGCGCCACGCAAATCCAGGGCTCGCAGACACCCTGCAAGGGCTGCGTCAGCTGCATGTTACATGAGGGTCTGTATTTGCACAGGAGCCGGAAGCTCCTGTGCAAATACAGAACCTCATGTAACATGCAGCTGACGTTTCTCAGGGTCACGTGGAATGGGGTTGCAGCAGAATATACGGCTTGTAGAAGGCAAGCAGTCACAGTTTCAGTTTCAAACCCAGCCACATGAGCTTCTTAACAAGAGGCAAGGCCCAAAAAGACCATTAGGCTCTTTTGCTTGGCTCCTAAATGGATTTGTTGCTGAAACCCAGAAGCTACTGCTCAGTCTAATGCAGCAGGGCTCCAGCCTGGGATCGGGAAGTCAAGGGCCAGCCAATCTGCCAGAGCCCTCTAGGGCTCTGTTTGACTGCACTTTCCTTCATCGTCAAAAGAAAAAGAAATTCTCTTCTGCACTCCGAACGATCTCTGGCCCCAGTTCCCAAACTACTGGACCCTGCTTACCCTCTGGGCAGCAACAAACAACATGACACAAAATCATGCTCTCCATGCAGATGACCAGAAATCACAATGAAGGATCTTCAGCTTTTTGCAGAGAGGCCATGTGCAGCTCCTGTGCCTCTTACTCCAGGCCAGGCCCTTCTAGAACACATGCCATCCTTGCAGTCTTTTGCTCACCGCTTCCTAAACTGTCAGCTTGCTTCCAGACCTCAAGCACACAACTGACAGCTACCATGTGAAGGAAGGTATGAGCACACCCCTGCTCCAAGCAGATGTTCCCCCATCTTCCCACTGCAAAGGCGCGTGGCTGTGTCCCTAGCTCAGCCCCACAAACCACTTCCAGGACAAAGGCTGCAAACAAACAGACAAGGGCACGGGCATGGAGTAATTTCCACTACCATGCCAGTGCCTCTCGGCCTGGTCTGCAGGGTGCTTGCTGCACAGACACGTTTGGCTTGACAGCAGACTGCAGGGACAAAAAAAGGCTTAAGGTAAACCACATTCAGCAAACAGCCGGGTCCTTGTGGGAAGACCCTGGGATCACCAGCTGTGCAGCCAGCCATCCTGCGAGGCAGCCCTGCCCAGCACTCAAAGCCTGGAATCCACTAGAGCACAATCCAGGGCTATGCAAACACCTCTCAGGAGGCAGAGCGGGGGACCCACGGGGCAGGGCAGGCGTGGGCTGCTCTCGCAGAGCAGTGTGGGCGACTGTGCTCCTAGGCCACCCGCTGCCCAAACTGCCTTCGCAGGGAGGCATCGCGCTGGCGACCACCGGCTCCGGAGGAGGCTGCAGAGCTGCTACAGGGGCTCAGCCAGAGTACGGGGAGCCGGAGGGCTGTGCCGCAGGCCCAGGACTGACGGGGGGTTCCCAGCAGCAGGCAGGAGCAAGCCCCATAGCTGGTCAAGGGGGTGCAGTGGCCCTGCAGCTGCTGGCACTGCCACCCAGGAGC